AATGAAATGCCTAAAGCCTCTGTTAAATCTCTTTCAGTCAATTGACGGTCTTCCAACACCATATCTTGTATTTTTCCAATGATTTCCGCTGTTGATGCAGTTTTTGGACATCCCTCTCGTGGATCATCTTCAAGGCTGGTACGACCACTTCTGAATAAACTAGCCCACTTGCAAACAAAAACTTTTTGAAGGAGCAGATTCACCCAACACATTCACCATTTTGGTATGAATTTCCATTGGCTTTAAAGCTTTCTTTACAAAGAATTTGATAACTGCACGTTGCTCAATTTTATCCATACCTGAAAAAAGCCACAACACATTAGATATAAAGGGCAGTTAAACAATGAATAAATTAACAAATCGAAATGAAACTTTTAACGTGTTCCTAAGAAAGAAGAAATATGAAAATGGCATCGAAGTTTTAGGTCTAATATTGACGAATAGATGGCACTCCGCGAACTTATTGAACAACTTTGTATTTTGTGATATTGCTGTTGAATTGAATTTCATGGTTTAAGTGCCAGGAGCATTTAATAAATAAAGGTAACGCACGAAAGGTTAAAAAAAAAAAAAAAAAAAGTCCCTTTGGGCGTTATGTAGAATCTAAAAGCTTTCAGTTTTTTTTTCCCCTGTTTCTAGGTGTGCATCAATTTCTTTTTGCTTGAAAAATGTCGCAGACCATCATAAACTTGGTATTGTGGGCCGGCCACTGTCGCATTTACCTGAGAACAGTTGATCTACTGCTCTAAACTGTACAGCTTAACATAATGATGTGACATTGAATGATATAATATCAGAGATAAATAAAAGCTAGTCGCATGCTGTTGTAAATGAGATGTAGCTATTTTCAAACCAGTTTCCAACCTGCATTCTAATGCTTTGCTTGCAGTTTTTCATATTGCATTCTCACGAAATTTGATAATTTAAAAAGTACAGTTAAAAAGAATGCAAATTTTTTCACTCTCTACTGATGGCAAAATGCCATATTTCTGAAAAAATGCAATCTTTTCCATTATCAATCAACTTCTACAGTCCTATTATGATTAGATACGAAACATAACAAAACTACAAAAAAAAAAAAAAAAAAAAAAAAAAAAAAAAAAAAAAAAAATACTCATTGCAAAAACACACAAATATTGGGAAAATGACAGTCTTAAAATATAAAGGTGAAAATCCACATGTACCAGGTTGCATGTCTGCTGCTCATATATGTGTGTCACCATGTAAATGCATTTTAGTACTGTCGTGGTTTCCTATATAACTATACTGCTCAAAACAGTTAGGAGATATTATGATTTTAGGTATAAACTGCAGCTAAGGAAATGTTTTGGTAACTTACGATACATAGGTGTTGTGAAATATGAGAAAAGAAAAATAAGGAATAATTAAATTTTATTGATGATATTTGTCAGTAAACATAAAATGCACAATTTGTACATATTATTCAAACAAAACAAAAAATATGATTTTTTGGATACAAATGAGTTTCAATAAGGGATTTCCCCTGACTGAAATCAGTGTTGCACACCAACGAGGTATGAAATCAATGAATTTATGAACAAGACACCGTGGTCTTCTCCCACTGCTTGTAGAAGAGACTTTCAGTAAGCTGAATTTTTTCTGGGGATGATAAGCTAATAGCAACCCTTCTCCTTAGAATATCCCAAACATGTTCTGCTTGGTTTATATCTAGGGAACATTCTGGCCAATCCACTCGACGGATTCCTTCATTGAAAAGGAAATTGCCTGCTAACTGAGCATGATGTGGCCTGTTGTTATCCTTGAGAATAAATTCATCCACATTTCTACAGTGTAAAGGAACACAATAGATCTAAGGATCTCATCTCATCTGATTCAATCTCATCCTATATTTCTGAGCCATAATTGCTGCATTCCTGATAATGTGCTAGTCAGTGCCTGGCCATTGATAGTCCATCACTCCACTTCCATCAACACTTTCATGCACAAATGCAAGAGTATTTCGTGTACCAATCATGTTCTTTAAGTTCAAAGACTGCTGATGTACGGAAATGCTAAGAAGCATTTCATGAACTGTTTTGTAGTTTATTGTGAACATGATGTTTGGAAAATTTTGAATGTATAAACCTTAAAAGACAGGATACAAAAGTTACTTTTCCATCTTCTATCACTGGGCAAAATAAACCCACTTTCATTTATGTTGCCTTCAGAGGACTGTTTTTGTCAGACTTAAGATAAGGCAATTTTGGCTCTCTGAAATCCAGTGTGGATGAAGAATTTGAAAACAGTATGTCATAGGAATAGACAGGACTGGAGGATAGGAAAATTCCTACGAAACCTTTTTTATTGAAGCACTACATAGCTGAATAAAAATGGAATAACTATGTAAAGATTTGATAAATACAAGAAGGATATTTTTGCTCTGAAGAATCATTGTTTTGTGAGTGAGTGAAATAAATGGTAAGTTTTTTTTATTAGTATGCAGTTTTGGTTCCTGGAAATTTAAATGCACTGTGCTGCTGAGTTTATTAACAAGTGAGTTTAATAAGTGGTGTGCACTGTACCTAAAATATTTTACTAATGGACATCTGTTGAGAATCAATCAGTGAATGTAATTTTCAGATTTTATTCTAATTTTGAGGAGCAGTGTAGTGTTTCAAAGTCTTTTACTTAATTTTATATCAGATTTAATATATTATTTTACACAAAGTACATAATAATAGGTTGTTTACTTATTCAAAAGTGATATTGTTTGAATGAACCTATTTCAGTCAGAACATTTGCTTTTTATGATTTTTGGAATTTTCGCACCTTGGAAAATGTTATTGTTCTGTATAATTAGGCAGCAAAATATTTTATTGATGTCATTTTAAAATGAAAATAAGGTACTTAAACATTAGCCTGCTGACCATGAAACTGTTACGAAGCAGCATGTTTTAGCACCCGTTATGAATAAACATGACACACTGATAACATCTTGCTGTGGTTTGGTGTAACATACCGACTGTTTCGGAATAAGCTGCATGTTTGTTTTAGGAAGAATGCTATGAATTAACTGTTATTGCTATATTTTTTCCGTTTTGGGAAAAAAAAAAAGGATTAAAATTTGTACAAAACAGAATTAAATAGACTATTTTCAAAATTATGGGATTTTACTATTTAAAAAGTGTGTATTAATGATCGTGATATTTTCAACAAAACAGTAATAAATTTGGAAAATTACCTGCAGAAAGTTTGTACTCATAACATCCTAAACAGCTGGCCTAACAAAACCATTAAAATCAGCTGATGTAACAAACTAGTAAAAATCAAGGAGAGACTTTTTAGAAAATTCGAAAATGAAGCAGCTTATATATTTATTGTTTATTATATAAAGAGGCATCATTTTGTGTAGAATTCTGCAGGAACAACAGTAGTAGCAACTTTGATCGGATTTCTGCAAAGTTTCATGATTTGACAGTAGCCAACTTTCATGGTCCGTGGGATGACGTGAGTACCAAAAATAATCTGTATTGCTATTTCATTGTAAGATTTCATTCCATTTATTAGAAGGAGATTATCCTGTTTAATTCAGTTTCTCAGTATTTCATATAATGCTTATAGTTGTTTTAAAGTTAAAAAACTCATGGAAAATTGTAGAATTTTCGTAGACATCATAGAAATTTCTCCATTTTTAAGGCTTGGAAAAGTTATAAAATTTTAAGAAAATTGTTGGTATTCATAAGAAATTCAAGACATTGATAACAGTTGTGTAATTAAAAACATTCAGACATATCTCTGCTTCTTGTAGGGTTTGGAATTGCATTGTTATATGTTCATTGTATCTTTGCTCAACTTTGCTCACAATGGCCATTCGGTTAAATGTACTGATGAAAATGTTAAACTTGTAATATATAAATAATAATGTATGATATTAAATATGAACTACCACTGAGTACTGGTAGTTTTATGTGCTTTGTGTTCAAACCTTGGCAAACGGGCTGGTTGCAAGGTTGGCTTTCGTGCAGTGTTTTCCTATAGATGTCCTCTGTGAAGGCAGGTAGCCTTTGTGTGCTTTCTCATAATCTAAAGTAATCTGAATCCTTTTATTATGGGTAATTGTGTTTGGGAAATTTTCAGTGATGAAATTATGGAATTTTAAGTTTTTTGCACAACGATGATTGAAATAATTGTAAATTTTGCTTTTTGACAGAAATTAAAGCTTGATAGGATCAAATTTTTATTAAATGGAAGCTTATGGAAAGCTTGTTTATTAATTATTGAACTGCTTCTTATAAGCTAATAATAGTATGTAAAATAAGAAGCTTGAAATATGAGTATTATGCAAGTTTATCGGTTATAACATAGACAACTGAAAATGTGCTTTTCTTGCTACCTGCCATCTTGTATTGTTACTGTCGATGTCAGTATGACAGTCACATTCTTTTGGATGAATTATTGAGAATAAAATAACCTCCAGGCAACAATTTTGATCTACACCAAACAAATATAATACCTTACATGTTTCTCCTCCCTCAGTGCCAGCTATCAATCATTTCTCATATGACAGCAGATCTCTGTTGTGCAGAAATACATTGGGAAAGTTGTAACCTGTATTATGAGACATGATGCTTTGTTAATGCTCTTCTGTTGCACCAGACTACATATTGAAATAAAAGCTGTGTTACAGGTTCTCTAGGTGGGAAAAGAAAACTGTTCTTGTTGTGTAGACATTTTACCAACTGGTGTTTTTCATGGTTGCTTGAATTAGTTTCTTGTAGAGAAACAACTACCAGGTAATTGAAAATCTTATTCCCTCCAAGATGAGAGTTGTTAGGTACTTCATAAACAATACTGGCTATTTAAGATAAAATAAATTTGATGCTTCCTTTTATGTTTACATTTTTCAACTATTCATATATTTATCCATTTAATTTGCAATAAACTTATAATGTCGCTTCACTTGTCATATGGTTAGTAATAAAAGTGTATAACTGTATAATGTTTATAGATTACATACTAAAGTACTTTTTTTTTGGCAGCTAGTACTTCTGTTCCATTAACTAGTCCTAGTCCTGTCCTAAATGGTGATGAAAGTAAAGCAAGAGTAGCAAAGCCTGCTCAGTCTAAAATAGATACAATTAAACAGTGGAGTATTTCAACATACAAATGTACTCGACAAATTTTGTCAGAAAAGCTTGGAAAGGTTTGTATTTTGCTTTCTTAAAATTCGTAAAATGTTTTCTGGATTTTGCCATTTTTTTCAGTTTTAAAAATTGTAAGATTCTATCACAGAAAGGTTTGGTACTTTAATTCATATTTTGTCGGAGGCAGTTTTTTAAGTATTATATTGTACTCGGTAAAATATAAGTGAAATTAATGTTTTGCCCTTGCCAGCTTCCTTGAAAAATTTTTTACGGTAATTTGACTTTTCTTGTAAAAGAATGGGAAAATGTGATTTATATATAAAGTATATATGTATTTTTGGGTATAAAATATTTTATACTGCAGTAAAAACTGAACTATCTGGAAAGTTTAGGAAAAACCAAACACCAGATATATAAAAATTCTGTGTAGCTGAGCATATAAAAAGTGCAGTTTGCTGTAGATAAGCGAAATGAATGGAAGAAATTTCCAGCCTAAAATTACAAGGTAACCAAAAATGTTCTTGCCGTTTTGGAGAGTCAGAAAGAAAAAGTCATAAAACAAATAGTAATCACCCATTGGCATCCGGTGCCTTCTGCTGAGTGGCTAGCTGTGTGATGCCATCGTGGTAAAACTCGGGAGTCTTGGATGCAAAGAAATCCGTGAGGGCCTTTTCAAGGTCTGGCCGGTTGTTGAAGGATTTTCAACGAAGATGGTTGTCCAGAGAATGGAAAAGGGAGGTAGTCTGTTGGTTAGGGGAGTGTGGTGGATGGCGTAATGTCTTGTAGCCCAGTTGCTGGAATGTTCCGGGCCTTCCAAGCCACCTGTGGCATCGCATTATCATCAAGGAGGAGTACATTCTTACGATTGACCAATGCTGGCTCTTTATGCATCAGTGCCTGATGCACACGTTCCAACTGCTATGATAGTTTGGCCCACTGGCAGGAGCTCATAGTGCACCATTTGCCAACTAGTGCATCTTACGTGGGTGGAGAGAATGTCTCGTAGTGTGAGGCACGGGGTGCTGTTGTGACAACCAATGTCTGGAATGTCTGGGTGTGTCATACTGGACCCACTTCTCATCACTGGTGAGTAAGTACCCTATCAAATATGGATGCATTGCACTGGCGAGTAAGCAATGACAAACAGAGAGTGATACACTGCTGGTTTGCATCAGACAGTGAGTGCCACTATGCTCAGCTTGTATGCCTTTCCTATGCGGTGCTACCTGGAAGTGTGCAGCAAGCTCACCGCATGTTTTGGCTACTGTCACTCTCTGTGGTTGCTGTCAGGGCCTCATCATCCAGCGCTTGTGCCCGACCGCTGCTTGGTGCATCACTAAGAGACATATCCCCTGATCTGAACTTCTGGAACCATTACCTAGCGGCTCGTTCATTAATGGCATCATCCCCTTAGGCCTGGCAAATTTGGCGACATGATAGCCGATAGGCCCACTTTAAAGGCAGTTCAGTCGCTGTGTGAGTGATGTTTGAAGTACCGATGCAATGCACTTTTATACTCTTGGTCAATGTCCGGACTCCCATACTAACCACTTTATCGCCAGGTTTGGTGACTATTTTTATGTTGGGGTTCACTCTTCCAGTGTCATATTAGAAACGGCAAGAAATTTTTTGGTTACCTTGTATAAAAAGGGTCATTTTATTTATTATTAACTTGAATAACAAAAGCCTCAATTTCATTTATACAAGATATGGGGTGGGGAAATGATTGCATTTCAGACACAAAAGCTGACATATTCATATATGAAAGTAAAACATCTTATTCCTATGAAAATTGGTAGAAATCTCGCCAAACTTGTGCTAGTCATGCTAGTAGAAATTTAAAGGGAACAGATTGCTCTTTTTTCGTTACATAATGAGATTATACATGTGCCTCCCAACTGGAATGGTGGTTAGTGATGCTAACTGCCGTACCAAAGTGCCTGGGTTCAAATCTCGAAGAAGGCTTAGATGTTTTTAAATGTGTAGTGTCTGAGCAGCATGGAGGCACTATAAATATGTGGTAAGCCCAATGTCCTCTCGAGAGGCTGGTAGTAGTTCCTTCCCTTCTGGATGCTGTCCGTCAAAATTAGCAGGAACAATGTCGTACTGTTATGGTGCACAAGGCTGTTGCCAACAACAGGCACAATCTTGTACTCCTTGACACAATGAATTTCGTGGGCTTATTCTGATGTTACTGTCAGACAAGTGAAGTCACAACAACAACTTATATATATTATGGGTGTGAGATTTAAAAACTGAATCACTTACTATAATTTTTCACGTTACATGATCAGTGTTTGTCCATTTTCAAATAAAGTTGCCTATAGTACGCATTAACATACACTCACTGTTCTTGATTCCAGAATACTGTAATTTTGAATCTAAACTACTGCATTCTTATTTGTTGAAGGCAGGTTCAAAATTTTAATAATATTTTTCAAAATGCGATGGAGGGAAAAAATAGGAGGTAACTTACATTGTTCCATGCTCTTCAGTGGCACCTTACTGTGTTGCGTATTGAAAAAATTCCTGATTCTGTTGTCTAGAAAATATAAACTATTTTAAATAAATTTACTGTTTGTGTAAAATTGTAGTTAAAAAAATATATGCGAAATATTAAGCATGTGAAATAAAATTAAGGAATATATAAATAGCATGAATGTCGTAATAGTAAAATATAAACCTGGTGAAGTATGATGAATGTGTGTAATCAATGTAGTATAATGACATGCAGTGAATTACAAGCAAAGAATAGTATATACATAATATACTAATAAGTATGATAAGGTAGAATAAAAATAAGGGGTAAAGAAATAATGCAAAATGTTTAAAGGTTATATATAATGAAGTGTAATAAAAATATTAATAGAAAACATGATCTGGACACTGACTTCCTCATATGTATATTAAATATTCCTTTTAGAACAAGAATAACTGATATTAAATATGGTGTGACTAACTACATTTTCAATTAAAAATTCCAAGCATGTTCAAAAAATGTCAACATCTGCTCCCTGACCAACAGCTACAAGTTACACCCTGTTTTAAATTTGAAAAGACTTTAGGTAACATGATAATTAACCGCCACAATGTAGTAGCTAATAGCATTTGAAATTGCCAGCTTCCTGATTTCAATAAATTTGTAGATCCTTTTTACCAAGATATTATCACATCATTCAAGATGATCAACTGCAAGAACTCATGCAACTAGGTACCAAATTTTGTCCAACTTTCAGTTTTAATAAACACTGTTACTTAAAACAGTTCAGCAATGATCTTAATCAACTTACCCACGACAACATTCCTTGAATGGAAAGCAACTCTAATTAAAGATTTTAAACTTTTGCTTTTTAAACTACCCAGTTTCAGTCAAATCCACAATAAAAGACATCTAGAATCTCAAATTAATATGCTACAACAGTTTTATCATCACCAAAATCGACAATACTAGTAACAGTTTCAGTGTCATATGAAAAAAAATTTATTACGACATTCTGCATAAGCAATTACATAGCACCTGCACCTATCAACAAATCTCTACCAGCACTAAAATACTTTTCAATAAATTTAAAGCACTTCATAAAAGACTTAAAATCCGTACTAATAAATTTAATAGCAGGTTTGCAAATCTCTATGCACTTCCAAAGTTTCATAAGACTCCAGTTAAATTCATATACTTAGCTAACAGTACTGGAAGTTATTTAAAGGAATTAGATTATCTATTTGCACAAAAACTTCAACTCATTCGAGATGTTATTTTGATTTTAAAGGTCAACATTGCAACTGGATGATTTCAAGCAACGAACAAATTCTTAAGACCTTAAATTCACTTAATAGTACGTATCCAATGCTACGATTTTGAGAACCTTTATACTACTTTATCACTTGAAGAAATTCATAGTAGCTTGCTTACTCTCCCTAATTTATTTCCTAAGATCACTACAATATTATCTACTGAAGATTGGCAGCTTTTTTTTTTCAAGTGTTCTTTTTAACAATTACAGTCAAAAGTCGTTAATTCGGACACCCATAATCCGGGCCTCAAAGCTAAAAACTTTCTGTGCATGCGCCGCGTTGACACATGCGCATAGGCGTTTATGCGTGTGCATAAGACCTTTACGACTGCGCATATGCGTGTGCGCAAGCGCAGAATACGTTTTCACGTGCACGTTTAATGTATAACGGACGGTATAAGCTAAAATTATCTAATTATCTATTTCAGTTAATGTTGATGATTGCGTGTTCCTTTCCTTATCTTCGAATTGGATGCGGCTTATTACTTTTTGCAGACTGTAAGAGCAATTTTATAAAAGTAAACTTGAACTTTCGATTATGTCAAATAGAATTTCCGATGCTGGAGCTTCCAAAGGATCTATAAAACGAAAGTATGTTTCGATGTCTGTCAAAAAGTGGAATTGCTGCAAAAAATGGATAAAGACATGAAGAAGGTGACAGAGAGGTTAGTGAAAACGAAAAAATTTCGATTGAGAAGTTAGTCGGTATTCTCGGTACAGCAATTACGGGACTTGAACAGCGGAACTTTGTAACTGAACAATAAATTATGTCTGTTTATAGAATTAAAGAGAAAGTATTATCACGTAAAACGAAGCAACTTAAACAACTTACATTGAAAGAAATGTTTAATAAAGTAAACAAATAAATATTAAACTTTTTTTTTTTGTAAATTTTGATACCCTTATATCATAATTGTTCTTTATTTCATAAATTACGGTTTCATATTTTTAATTTTAGAATTTCTGCATGCCATCTTACGAGATTTAAACTGATGATCTATAATCCGGAATCGCCGAAGTCCCGACGAGTCCGGATTAACGACTTTTAACTGTATATTCAATTTAATAACAACATCTTTAAACAAATACAGGGTATACCTATGAGCGGCAACTTTTCAACCGCAATCTGTGAACTGTTCCTATTCACACAAGAATTTACTTTTGTATGTTCACTTAAAATTGAAGATCAAAAATATTACCAACACATCTTCATTATATAGATGATGTAATTGAATTTAGCAACTTTAACAAAACTGAAAAAGCTAATATTTACTTTTCTTGCCTCAAGCTTAATACTAGTAATACAGTTCAAAATGATGTAGTTTACCTTGATTTACATATTCTAGATTACAATCTTTTAAAAATCTGCGATAAACGCAGAGATTTCAACTTACCTACACTAAAATTAACTAACTGGATTTCTAATATTTCTAAAAGGGTCATTGTCAACACAGTTAATGCACAACTTAGAATTAAAAGAATCTGTAATAATACAAAACACCTCCAAGAAGTACTCTACTTTGTTACTATCTTACAGAGCAACCTTATTCCAAAAACAGTCATTAAAAATTCATTAAAAAAAGCTGGCATTTACCTATTCTTTTTAGATTTTTTTTAGTTAGATAATGAAATTTTTTACTTAAATCCCATTGGGAAGGTGATTAATGGATGGCTAATTCAAATGATCTAACGTAAAAATGTAAAATTAACAACTTGTGCTAAAAAGAAGTGCCATGCACGTCAAGATGCTTTTGTCTCAAAGTACGAGAGACATGAACACCACGTCAATAAGCATTTATCGCAAAAAATGAAAGTAACTTGGTGCACATGTTGCTTAACAACGAGATTGTTTATTTCTCGAGTTCTGGATTGCAGACACGGAGCGGCGTAAATGAGACACTTTACCACTTGTTATATTGTAGCGCACGGCACCGCAACCGTGAAGTTTAATCGTACCGCAAGTGGTTAATTCCTCTCACAACTTCAATTTTACTCTCCAAGTTTGGCTCAGTATTTCAAATTCTATTCTTGAATAGATGTTAATGCTTTCTCTGGCCACACCTATCCTGTTATTGATTTTATGGGCTTTTTTCGTTTCATGCAGCTTGAAAGCCCTCTAGCTTGAAGAATTCAGACTTTAATTAACAATTTATTGTATTTTTCCAATTTCTACTTGCTTTTTGGCCAATTTTTCACATTTTGTGGAATTAGAAATTTTGAATTTCACCTCATCCCAACTTACTAGAATTTAAGTCGAGCAAATGCCATCTTGAACAAATTTTTTCCTTCTTTAACCATTTACCCCCCCCCACACACACTGAGTCAGGTTGTGCCAACTGTCTGTCACTTTTCATTGGCTCTAATTTTATGACGTTTTCATTCCCTTTTACGTTATTACACCTCGCTGGTTAGCTACTTTCTTATCTTTTCTGGAGTCAAACATCCATTTGTTAACATGTGGCTGTTCACAGTAGAAGTCAGCGATCAAGGTTTGTTTTAAAAATTTTTTTCATTCCCTTCTTTTAATATTTGGTCATAGCAAGACTCAAATTAATTTGCTTTACAAAATTTAAACTCTTTAAGCTAGTAGGTCCTCCCTAAAAATCTTGTATTTTTGACTAATAGCAATTCGCTATTGATTTTATTTTGTACATTTGCCAGGCCAGTTTGTATAGTTTTTCCTTACACCATTAATGTGTTTTTAATTTACTTTTACAAGCAGACGTGTCAGGAAATGAAACAGAGAAATTGAGACTAAAGTTTTTATCTGGGTTATTTTATCAGTTAAATAATCAAAACATTTCGTGTACACTCTCGATTTTCTGTTTTGACGAAACGCAATATGGAATTAGCTGGGTTCGGAAACCATTAGGCTAATTTACCATTTACCGCCTTTTTGTATTTTTGCTTGTCTTATATAACCATTATATTTCTATTCGAATGTCTTAACTTAACTCAACATATTACTTCCAATTTGAATTGAGTTTTAAATTCGCTTATTATTTGTAAGTATTCTAGTGGTAGTTTCATTTATCTTGTATTTACACTTTTCATTGCACTTTATTTTAACTTGTGTTAAAATTATTCACCGGAACCACAGTATCATGACGACTTTTAAGCAAAAGCATGAAGAATTTTCTTTTTACCTTGTTTTCTAATTTTTGCTGCTCAATGCACAAAATTCTTGACCACAAAGGTCTTTTTTAGTTTGTTCTCCTTTCTTAAATTATAAACTGTTATATAAGTTAGATTTCGCTATTTGTCAAAAAATAATTTTTTAAAAGTTTGACATTGTCAAAGCATGATTATTTTCATCATTTAAAACTCTTCTATAATTTGAAGTATATGGCTACAATCAACAACTGTGAAAATAAAGGCTAGGTATAAGTGGTTGGGTGTATGTATCTCTCTCTCTATATATATATATATGTTTGGTACTGCCGACTGCAATAAAAAACAAGGAAGTGCAGAAATTAAATATTACAGCAGTCCCATATACAAAATTTCAACTTTCTATGCCTGATTGTTTTTGAGTTATGCGACATAAATATATACGTACAGACATCACGGAAAAATCCATTTTGCAATTTGTTTTGGAAAGTCATTTATTCTGTCCATATGTACAGTATTCACTAAAAAAAAGGGGGGATTCAGGAGTGGTCAAAATGGGTATTTCTGTTAAAATGTGATACCTGAAATTTTTCATGATTACAATACTTCCTTTACTTCATACAAAGAAGTAAAAGCCTAAAATGGCAATGAACTATCAAGTAGTAGTATACAAGGTGTGACATAAAAGAAACGAAACTGGTCCAATAACTTATTGTAATTGCAGAATCAGTTCTCTGTGATATTATCACCTTCAAAGCAGTTCCCTTCCGCATTCGGTACTGCCGTTGCTGGTAACAGTTCTGGAACGAGATTTTTGGAAGGCCCTTCAGGAGATTCTCCGTTTTTGCCTGAACCTCTTCAGCTGAAGTAAAATGGGTTCCCTTTAAGTTAGATTTAACTTTAGGATATAAAAAAAAAGTCACATGGAGCCAAATCAGGTAAATAAGGAGGATGCCCCATCACAGTAATGTTTTTGCTGGTCAGAAACAGCTTCACAAATAAAGCCTTGTGAGCGGGTGCATTGTCCTGGTGCAACAGCCATCCATCACTCCACAACTGTGGCCTTTTTTTCTTATTTTTTAGTACTTCAATGCAGTAGTGTTGATTAACAGTCTGACCGCTGGGAACCCATTCAATCATGTTGAACATGCTGGGTGCCTAAGGGAGGTCGACCAGCATGTTCATCATCTTCCACACTCTCTCTTCCCCCTGAAAACCACTCATGTCATTCAAACTCACGAACATGAGACAAAGTTTCATCTCCTTAATCCTCGGTTAACATTTTAAATGTTTCCTCCAGGGCTGATTTCTTAATTTTCATAAGAAACTTGTTGTTGATTCCCTGTTTGGTTTTTTACATTAGACATTTTTCCGGCTGAATGCAGTTGCATATGTTCACTCAATGATGCAGTACTCCCCACTGGCGTGGTCAGTTAAGTCGAAACTGGCCGTATGGATAGAGGAGGTGTGTGGCATGACTTTACCAAAACAGTTGTCAACTCCACACTGTTTTCAAGCTATACACTTAGTCTCTCTCTTTTTTTTTTTTTTTTTTTTTTTTTTTTTTGTGTGTGTGTGTGTGTGTGTGTAACACCTCGTATAAGATCAAATTAGATATAGAAGATTTAAAGATAAAAATTGTAAAACAAGAAATTAAATAAAAAGTTAATAAAAACAAAGAAAAAGAAGAAATCTTGTTAATATTCCATGTAGAGAAAGTTAACAGATTTTATCACCTTTCCACGTTCCCTATTAATGGTATTCAACAAGCATAACAAAATTTTTATAACAAAATAATATTTTGTTAATTTAATCATATTTAACTTTTGAGCCATAAATATGATTATGTGTGTATAAACAATAGTATTTTTAAATGTATATTAATTAATATATGTAAACTCTTTGCATATCTTTAGGGAACTAGAACTATTGATGCTGAAATGGAAGCTCAGATTGAGTTGCTGAGAGACACTCAAGCAAAGTACTGTAATATTTTACGACTTTGCCCGATCTCTTACAAGCCATTTTTATCATGTTGTACAAACTCAGCATGCATTAGGAGAGGCATTTTCAGAACTGGCTCATAAATCCCCTGAATTACAAGAAGAATTTTTATATAATGCTGATACTCAAAGAAGTCTGAGTAAAAATGGAGAAACTCTTCTTGGTGCTCTGAATTTTTTTGTATCTAGTCTAAACACATTATGCAATAAAACAATGGATGATACTTTGCTGACTGTTAAACAATATGAAAGTGCTAGGTAAGTTTTCTCTTTTGTTATTAGTTCTGTTACAGTTATCTCTGAAGCATTATTTTCTATGGTATAATTTTGAAACAGAATGTGATTAAAATTTTACTGTATTTAGTCAAAGGGTTACAGGTTTTTCTTTTAGAATATTTCTGTAAAATATAAGCTATAATTTTTTCAGAGTTTTTAGCAGGAATGATTGCTTAATTTAAAATGTTATATAAAAATTTTTGGTTAGATGAAGGTTTTTAATGAATAAAATAGTTATATTAAGTGAGCAGAAAGTGTTGTTGCTTTGGAGGCAGTGTAAATTTGGTACCATAGTTATTTAATTGGTTTTTCAGTTGAAGGCTTACATGACCATAATCCATGACATTATTTAATAATATATCTAACTGATATTATTTAAAATATATCCATTTCATACTTTTATGAATATCAGCATCATTATTATTATTATTAACAAATGATGTTTCTTATATGTTATGGACCTAGTTACCGATTTTTTTAAACTAAATATATTACTTTTGTTTTTTCTTATATAATTTCAATACTACATTTTTAATAATAAGTGCGGTTTAAGAATCATGCCCTCGTTGAACCAGCCATTCTTCATCATCCTTTGAACGTAATGAAATTACCAAAACATGAAATTTCTTTCAAAGTCACTTTAATCTCAAGCATAATAGTATGTAAAAAAACAGTGCAAAGTTATAGGTGAAGACTCAGAGAAATGGGCTCATTATTGAAGTAGTAGTTTTCCTAATCAATATGGTGTTTAGTGAAAACAGTGGGCTTGGATTAAATTTCTCTAGATAAGGCATAGATGCCTGTGTCAGATTCAAATTCCAGATAAGGCATAGGTATGCCTTTGTGAAATGGGGCACTTAAAAATCTATTTATCAGGAATACTTCTCAAGAACTTATGATCATTAGAAGAGATGGGATACAAAATCTTTTTACACAGTCCTGAGGGTTGCTTTTGATCAAAATTGGGATGAAGGCTAGACAGGTAGGCTTCATGTGCTTTATCTAATTAAGTTATTCTATATTTCAAGAAAGCATGCTGTTGTAGTGCAAAGTATGTGAGATCCAGGCACTTTGAGACTCCAGTTCCAAATTTTAGATTATCAGTTTAAATCTAGTGAGATGACATGAAGAAATAATAAAATATGGTACAAAGTCCGAAGTCCAGACTCGTCGGGACTTCGGCGATTCCGGATTTGAGATTTTTCCGGATATTAGATCATGAATTTAAATCTGGTAAGCTGGCATGCAGAAATTATACAATTAAAAATATGAAATCATAATTTATGAAATAAAGAACAATTATGATCTAAAATGGTATCAAAATTTACAAAAAAAAGCTTAATATTTATTTGTTTACTTTATTGCAGCAATTCCACTTTCTGTTTAATGGACATCGAAACATGGTTTTGCTTTGTAGTTCCTTTGGCAGCTTCAGATTTGGAAACTCTTTTCGACATAATCAAAAGTTCAAGCTTAATTTTTATAAAATTGCCATAATATTAACAGTCTGCAAAAAATAATAAGCTGCATCAAAGTAGAAGATTAGTCAGCAGCGCAGCCTGCTACATTAAATGAAATGCCTTAGAATCAGTAAAGATAATTTTAGTCTAGCTTAATAGCATCCGCTATGGGTGATCTTTAGATTATGGTAACTTGGCGATTTTTTGGCGAAAATTTGGCGACCAACTCTCCTACAGCAACTCTCTATTTTTTCCCCCCTGCCGCCATTTTGTCTTCACGAAGTAAAGACATTGTTTCTTTTCTTTTTATCTACTGAACACTTCTTCCAACAATCTACTAGCTGAATTACACTTTGCTAGAAATTTTATCTAACAAAACTGCTTAATCATGACAAATATTCACTGCAAAATTGGGAAAAAGTGCACAATACCATACTCCTTACGCGTTTTTCAAAATAACACATACACATAAACCATGTACACGTCAACTTATTTTTACTTAAAAAAACATCCCAGAATTACACAAAAATGGCATTGTGCACACTCTTCACTATATCCATGTACACTGCTTTTTTCTCATAAATTAGAAAAATTTCACGAAAATACATGACAATTTTCTGAATCTTTAAACCCGGTAAAAAGAATATATATGAAATTACCTGATCGCGAAAAAGTATATACCCTTTCCAAATATGAACATTTCCACACATAAAGTAAATAAAATATCCAAAAACTTTTACCTCTAAATCATCTATTATATTATAAACGTCACCAACGAATTCATACCGCAAACATTACAAATACTTAGTGTCAAATATTTAAATTATTTCCATGCACGTTTACTTCAACTAAAACGTATACCAAATTCCTACAAACATAAAATTCACAAAATAACTATCATTTAATTAAAATATAATTAAATTCAAAACACTACGTAAAATATAAATAACCACATACATTAAATTAATAATAAAAATTAGCTTACAATCCCAATTACTTTAAACTAAATCATTGCTAATAACAATTTTTCCCAATAATACCAAATTACTTTACTTCCACCTTACATTTAGAGCAATGCATAAAAATAATATCCTCAAATAATTAAAAATACTAACTTACCTAATCTTCTTCAGAATTTTGCTTACATGGTGGATACACTTTTATTATGGATTCAATAAAATTATTGAATGATTTTTTCTGCAAATTTTTCCTCCATACTTCCTCCGCTAAATAAAAAGCAAAATTCTCTTTATCACAATGCCTCAGAATGACGCATTAAAAATCTAGAATTCACTTTAGACAGCGCCATACAATCCCAAAATTATTCAACCCTAATTCGCACAACACACAATGAAGCTTAATACTGCAAATAATAGTACTGCCACAGATGTTTTTCCAAATTTATCCCCTTTTCCGATTAAAGAACTGTAATTTATTTGTCCATTAATGTCACATGACCATATCCCATGATCTCTCATTTCCCTCACACAAAAATAATGCGTAATCGGAACTGAGTACTGCTCACATTATTACCAAAGTCCCAGGTAGTAACCTTTATCGCCTCCAAAATGTCGCCAAACTACCAGTTACCATATTCTAGACATCAGTCCTGTTATGCATTATTGGCTATGTATCACAAGATTGGCGACGAAAGCCAAGTTATTTCGCTAAATTTGTTCTTGCTCCTATTGCGTACTGAATTAAGCCTGAATTGTATTAGTTTAGTTATTTACTATACCCACGTTTATTTCTTCCACGTGCTTAAAACTAATCTGAGTCCTGAATAAACAAAATTCCCACATCTAGGGCCGGCGTTAAATACCGCTTGGTGCAGTCTCTACAGGTCCTAAGTTCTGCTGCAAAGCGCCTTTCTAAGTTCTAAATTTTCACTGCACCTATTACTTTGCATACCAATGTTTTCCCTAAATCATAAAAAACTTCCATACCTGCCAACTTTTACGAATTTTTCGTAATTTATACGAAAATGCGTTTGTCTTTACAATTTTACGATCATAAGATCGTAATCCATTTTTTACGATTTTTTTTCCTTTTTCAAGTGTTTTTAGTGATTTTTGTCGAAATTTTAGAATTTTTCGCCAATTCAGCGATTTTTGCCAATTGCATCGTGTTTTACTGCCAACTAACGACTGCAGTTTCTCCCAACTCGCCGCCGCTTAACCAGCCAGTCCAATGCTGAACTTGTTTCTCCCACTCTTTTCTTTGTGGGCGCCAGATTATTTTTTTAGCGTGGATTGTCGCATTCTTTTTTTTTTTTTTTTTTTTTTTTTTTTTTTGTTTTGCACGTGCTACGAATTTTCTTAATACGTCGTTGTTACGAAATGAGTTTAAAAAAAACCGTATTCTCAATATTTTCGGCCTGCCTACAAAGCCGAATTTCCAACAATTAAAGAATCCTTCAAAGGAAATAACTATGCATTTTGCAACGTGTGCGTGTGTGACTTCATAATAAGTCACGGTGGAAGAAGCGACATTGTGAAGCATGTTAAATGTAAAAATCATGAAGTTAATGCTTCGGCTTCGACAACGTCAAAGAAAGTAGATGATTTTTTTTTCAAATTCGGTTACGAATTCGGATGCCGATGTCATTTTGGCAGAGTGTTTGTTTACTGCATTCCTCATCGAACACAACGTGCCACTAAGTGCTGCCGATCACGCTGGTCAACTTTTCAGACGGATGTTTCCCGACTCCCAAGATTGCTCAGAAATATGCTTGTGCTCGCATGAAAACATCTATTGTGAACCAGATTGTAGATTTATGCTAATAAATTGTGTTTCTTCAGCTTGGAGGTGTTTTATTTATTGAAGTAAAATTAAGGATCAGGGTCATCCACATGCTTTATTATGAAAGAATGTCTACTGCATGTGGCACGAGACATTATTCTCAGAATCTGATTTTTTTCTCTCTTTTTGCAAAAAAATTGCTTGTGGTCTGGATGTCTGTATTTTGGACTTTGTACTGTATATAACATTCACTTAGAATTATCCTGACATCTTGCTCTCCACAATTACCCACAGCCCATAGGGTTTTGTTTCAGTGTTCTGCAATTTGATTGGCATTCTTATAGTTGAAGTGGGTAGCTGCAGTAAAAATCTAATTTTACTTCATTGTACTTATTTTATTTATTTGTTATTTATTTATTTTCTCTCCATGATAAGCAATGGTGCTGATGAACATACTTTGGCAGATTACATACTGGCTGCCAGGAGACAGTCCAACTTCCAAAGTAATACAGAAAACGTTTATGGAGAAGTCTGGGCGCAGTAAGTTGTAATATCAGATACACTGCATTCCTTGTAAATAGTTGGGTTTGTGGTTTCAGCTATCTGGTTTTGTTTTCTCTTGGTTTATTAAACTATAAGCTGTTGTTAGAGAGCATTGTTTGTTTTGTGAACAAGCATGTAACTCCGTTTGAACAGTTTGCACTTGTTCAGAGTTTTGTTGTTTAACCAATGATACAATGCTATAGGCAATATCAGATTTCTCTTAATCTGCTCTTCCTGCATCTTTCCATTGTTTCTTGCTGTTTTTGAACTTGCTTAAACGTTCCGTGGCGGTCAAATTGGAACAGAATTTGTAAATTGCAGCTTTTGTCATTTATCCATTATGACATCACGGTTCCAAAATCTGCATATGCGTGAGCTTCCAGTTGAAGATCTGTTGTAATTACCAGAAACTGTGTTGTAAGTTTTGAAGCTAATGATGTTCTTGAAGTTTTGCACTTCAGCATTTTTCTTGTATATCTTAATTTTTACTTTTAGTGTTATCTAAAATTAAGTTTGCCATAGACCATAATACTATGTTTACTTGAATATGAGACCCTATTTTTGTTTTAAGATTTAGAAAGGTCTTATAATATAGGGTATTCTTATAAATAAAATTGAAGAATGAGAGGTGGGAGTTTAATTAGCATACTGTAAGGAATAATTATGTTTAAATACTAAACCAACCATACAGGTAATTATCATGTATATCAACTGCATAACTATCACTAATTACAGTACACACATCTAGTTGAGTAACATTGAACATCTAGATGAGCCATTTCAGTTTAGACCTGCATCTACTACCCTGGTTATTGGGTATGCCTGAAAACAATTGTATAATAATATATGATTAATTTTTTCTAATTTTTCTTCTGTGCCATAGTTAAATGTTGTATTTAATTAGGTGGCTTGCCTTTCATTCTAGTTAGAAACAAATGACTTCTAGTCAGAACCTTTGCTATCATCAAATATTCACTTATATTTTTAATTCTTAAAATTTATTCTAAAATGTAAGGAAGGGGTCTTATTTTCAAATAAATATGGCATATATGTCAGCTATTTTATTTGATTTTAACTTTTCTTTCCTTTCATTACAAAGTTGCTTATTAAATGTTCTGAAAAACTTAATTGCTTAAAATGCTGAAAAAAAGTTCCAGGTTATCTGTCAGAAATTGCTTACAATATTTTATTACATATATGTATATTCACAAACACATATACACATATATTTAAATTAGCCTCGTCTTTTAGGTTAGAGTATGATGCCTACAGAAATGATTTAGAAGAACTAATGCAGAATAACCAAGGAAATGTTATGTCATCCAAAGTTGAAGAAGCACGCAGGAATTTCACTTCTCATAAAGAGAAATATGAAAAACTGCGATCAGATGTTGCCATAAAAATGAAGTTCTTGGATGAAAACAAAGTACTGAATTTTTGTCTTCACGTGTTGTTTTTGATATTTAAGTAATATTTTTCCTCTGTCTCCCTCTTTGTTCTGGGGGAAAGGGGCTAAATGTAAACTGCTTTTCAGAAACAAGAATGTGTTCAGCCATGATATTTATCATGAGGTCAGTCTGTTAAGGTAAAACTGGTTTAATTTTTCATATTGCTAAGGTAAGGAAGAAATTAGTATTCAGTGTGTAGTTTCTCATTTAGAAACTAATATTCTCCATTTTATGTTATTGCTTTTATAAAATAGGATTTGCACTTTTTTCATAATTATATTATTCAGTTATGTTTCAGACAATAATTGGAGAAAATTGACATTTTGTCTCGGCACAGCTTCAAAAAATTCTGATGGATGCTTCATATCCTAAAAATGCACGCTTTTAGCTAAATTCCATCATTTCCACTGTTATCTCTCAATATAGAGAATAGGACAGTTGAAACTATTCATAATTTTTAGTATTTGCTGTCCAACATGAAGTAGGTGCATGTCTCTGTATAAGAAGTGAAAGGGACAATTTTATAAAATAAATTGTCAGATAAAACTTCAGTTAGCTATACTATTTATGAGAATGCATGATTTATCATATATTTAATTGCCTTGAGTAAAGAATGACATGTCAAGTAAAACTAAAGCAAATAAAACCACGTTGTTTAATATCAGTTATTAATAGAAGGAAAAATGTTTTTTGGGTTTGAGAGTTAGAAAGTGTTTCGGATTCAATTAATAACTGGTGTCAAATAATGTTATCTTCATCTTAATGTAACTGCCTTATTTTCTTCTATATTTTAAATTTTACTTTCTAATTCTCAATAGACATACAGTTGTGGTTATCTTTACGCCATTGGTACAGTTGCTGAAATATGCGTCTTGTTTTTTAGAGTAGAGAGTTAATCATTTTGTAAGTATATATTATATGTATGTTCTATTTTAGTTTGTAGTCACAGTACAGTGTCTTAAGAAACTAGATTACCTGAAAAAGTATAACTATTCTTGTTAAACAGATATCTGAGGAGAAGGTTGATGATTAGATATGTTAGAGTAGCTCTGTGCTGTAATAGATTTTCATTTCTCAAGGTCAAAACTCCACACAACACAGTTTTAATGAGGCAATAACTAAAATCAACTTGCAAATATCTCATTTGTTTGCCAGAAAGGGAAACCTTTTTACCAATGGTGAAATGATTAAATCATATTTGCTTGTGGCAGCATAAGAAATACGATAAAAAAAATTTATCTCTCATTTTTTCACTAAGAGTAACTATTAGAATAGTTGAGGATATCAGGAGCCTCATTACGAATGAAATAAAAAACAGGCCAAAAAATTTCACGTGGTTTTTGTTAGCTATTATAGTTGATAGACATAACTCATGCTGCCCAGCTGCTGCTATTGATTTGAGAGGTCAATGCAGTATAAAGCTCAAAATCTGGGTTGTCCATTATCAAGAATGATTGAATATCTATCTCTCTGGATCATTAGAATTTTTTTTAAAAAAATTTCTTACCAAGTATATAGTACTTGCGAAATATACAAAATATTACATGAGATGGGTCATAAAAGCAATTTTCTCCACTGACTAAAATTCCTGTATGTCACTTTCAAATGCTTTCTGATTAGAGAATCACAAACCATGGCCAATGACAGTCAGATTATCAGTATTAAAGTTTTATTAAGTAATAAACTTTTCCTTTTCACTTTTTTCCTGAAACTGCACATCTGTCAGTCAGCCAGTGGGTAGTAGAATTTTGTCTGTATTATAGTGCAAATATAAAGTAGCTTTTTAAAAACTGATGCAGCAGTAAAATATAAAATCTGATGTAGGGAATTGGAAGATCATGAGAGGACATGCCTGCAAGTAATTTTCAGAATGCTTGCCATGATTTATAACGAGCTACTAAATTTCATGATGATGATAAGAGCTGCGAATCTGAAGGCTTAAATATAACCAGGAAAAAAAAAAAAAAAAAAAAACTGATTAATGGAATAGCAGAAGAAATACCAAATAAGGAGGATACAACTAAAGTCTTACAGTGCCTTGATCATCAATCAGTTAACAGAATGGTGAATATCTGTAGTAGGGTTTTAATCCCAGAAAATCTCATTTCATGTGGTGTGATTCGGGGGGGGGATCTGTCTTTGTAGAAATTGCATCATTCTTAAAGAACTGCTAAGAAAGAATATTTTTTATTTTATAATTTCTATGTGACATCGTACTAGATATATTTAAAATCCAGGAATTTCCAAAATCTGGAATCGCCAAAGTCCTGATGGTTCTGATCCTCAAACTTTATACTGTACTGGATTTAAGGTAATTACTTTCTATCTGTGATTAGTCTGCTTGGAGCAACTACAGGCGAAGATATCTTCAAGTTCCGAAAATGCTAGTCAGATACAATTTGCAGTGGAATTGGTTAAAATATGTCACAGCTGATTGTGATAAAAATAAGTGGGGAATGGGGAAAGCATCAGTTTGACCAGTTTGTAAACTTGTAAAGAAGCTAAATGTAAAATCTCTGGTAATTCGCTGCCACGTCAATCTGTCATTTGTTTTTCAATAATTCTGTAAGCAGTTACCATTATTTTTTCCTGTAAACCTGACCAAGAGTTTCATGATATTTTATAAGAGACTGAAGCTAAGTATTCCACCTTCCTGTGTAGGGGTACAAATATATTAAAAGTTCTAAAAATATTTAAATATTATAGGTTTTTATAGTTTAGTTTCATCTAAGAGTAATATTAAAAATAATAGTTCAAATTTATGCCTTTTTAAAAGTTTCTAAATTTTAACTAAACGAAAATATCATTATTATAATTTTTATTTCATATGGTTGCTATGATTTTCCATAAAAAAATTGTTTGTATCAGAGTGCTGGTTTGGTGGGTGGATGGATTTAAAATAATGTTAAAGAAATAATTCATTCAGTAAAATTGTTTTATTAGTATCAACTTTGTTTTCTCTCAGTCATCTTTATTTGGTGACTGTCACTGTATTATACAGCAGTGTATATGCTTCAGCAATGGTTGAGTTTTATTGATATTTTTTTTTAATTCAGAGTAGTAGTAGAAAATTTTCTAAATGAGAAAATTGCATGCAACTGCTATTATCAAACAATGAATGGCTGTGGAAACTAGCATTCACTGTGGACATTGTGGGATATCTTAATGACTTTAACTTAAAATTAATGCAAAAAACTATTCTTATATGTGAACTGAGGTTTTTCATAAAGTTATGTAGCTGAAAATTTGCATTGTTTGAAACACAAATCACATTAGACAAATTTTACCATTTTGCATGCTCTAAAAAATTTCAAATATTAGCAAAATCCTCATTCCCAAATCAGTTTGCAGAGGATTGTAATCAAAGACAAAATATTTTATTTATTTATTTATTTATTTGGTAAGTATCATCAAAATGTGTGTAAATATTACACAAAAGTATGTCCTAATAATAACACAAATTATTTTTTTCCATTGTTACTGCTCTATGAGTAAAATAATACGTCTAATCTTCAAGTTATTAAGATATATAAATCTCCAAAATTGCTAATGTGGCCTGCCACGCCAGAAATTTTAAGTACCTGGCCTTTTACAAAAACTTATTTGCCGAGCCCTGATTTAGGACATTAGAATATCATGTGGCTTGCTACATTTGGATTGAAACTTTAAATGATGTGAAATTTGGGCTGTTTGTTGTTGAGGCATAAATAGTTGTGCATTCATTGTATTTAAATTTTAAGCTTACACAGCTTTTATGTCTTTATGCAAAAAATGCAGATTACTTGATTCACTTATTTTAAGACCAAATCTTATTTCTTATTCTTGAGGCCCTTTGACAGTGGGATCTCATGTATACTTTTCTTAAATTTGTATGTAGAAAAATCCCGCCAGCCCACCAGTGGCCGAGCAGTAAAGTTGCGGAACACTGGCAGTTGAGTTCGCTTTTTAAATCCTGATGAAGGGACTGACTGCATGGACGTTTTCGTGGTTTTCCCCATATGTAATGTGTATTTGAGCCAGTTTTTCTTAAAAAGCCCTTTGTGAAAGCATCCCTTCCCTTAGGCAGATAGCCCTTGAGTGCTTTGCTATAATTAAATAAACAAAAACAAAAATCTCACCTGTGGTTGAGTGGTTGCAGACTGCTGATACTGTTAGTTCGTCCCAGAGTGAAACCCAGGTGAGTAAGAGCTGCATGTTTAGTTTTTGTGGTTTTTACCTTCTGTAATGTAAGTACAAGTTAGTTCCTTTAGAAAGTCCTCCAAAAAGGCATCTCTCCACTTAGGGAGATATCTCTCATGTGATTTGCCATATTCAAATAGCCAACCACCTGTATGTTGTAGGAGAGCGAGAGATGCTGTGTATTTCCTAATATAAGCCAATCCGTGAATAAGCAGAGTTCCCACCCTTTAAAAATTATATCCAAAATTCCAACTCTATATGAGTTCAAATGAAAAACAAATCCTGTATTCAAACATGGGAGTGTGAAAAATGTTTCCTAGCAGCTGAAATGGGGAGGTATTTTCCTACCAAATTGCTGTAAATTGAAACTAGACTCCAACAATGACAGTTTTTACTTTGCTAACCTTATCTGATGCTAGCACACTTTTTCATTCCTTTGTCTTTTATATAATCTGCAGTCTTATTTTCTCAGTCATTTTATTTGAAAGATAGCGGGAAGAGAAAGTATTATATGGCAAATGGCAAATTTCAAACTATAGATGATTGTGTTTGCTGAAAATTCTAATAATAGTATGGCTGACATTTCTTCATAAATGGGAAAAAAAAAATTAAGCGTGGAAGGGAGAGGACCAGCAATATAAACAATTTGGAAAACAACTGATCTTCATAAACCATTAACTTATTTTATTTAAAATAAACTTTTTTCGTAAACTCATTAAACGGAAATTAAAGGAATAAAAAAAAGAGCTGTATTTGGCGATTTATTGCTTGCGCACAGTTAATAGAAAGGTACCTAGATTTTTTTGCGACATTAGAGGATCAGTATATAAGCTGACCCCCTTAATTTAGCTTTAGAAAAAGTAATAAGAATTCTTGGCTAATGCATGGGAATATGCGGCACATACAGTTATTGAAGTAGAAGTCCGTGTGCAAATAATTATTTCTTGTCCATTTCAATTTTGCATTTATTAGTGGCTCACAAGAATTAATAAGTAATAATTTGTTGAAGGTGTATTAATTTTTATTGGCTAATCATATTTTTTCTTTCCTACAGGTTAAAGTCATGCATAAACAATTACTCCTTTTCCACAATGCGGTGTCTGCATATTTTTCGGGAAACCAAACCATGCTTGAAGCAACACTAAAACAGTTTAACATAAAACTGAAGAGTCCAAACTCTAACTCACCTTCTTGGCTGGAACAGTAACTAGTGAAATAACCACGATCTAATAGCATTTAATTTATGCTGGGTAATTTTGTAGAGAGAACTGTTAAAATGGTTTATGCATAGGAAAAAAATCTGAATAGAGCATGAGGCACATTTGCAAATAAATTTATTTTTTGCTCATATATAGGCTTTATTAATGTGCCTCATGAAAAACTAAATATTTCCCAGTGCACTGCACCATTAATTTCAGTTAAAGCCAAATGTTATCATATATTGTTAATTATATTGATTTTTTGTATAGTATGATTTAACATATTATTATCTAATACATTTTCCAGTAATTGTTAATGTAGAAATGTAAATTCTGAATAACAGCTATATGCTGTAGTGCCTTTTTTTAGTCACTTTTTTATTTTGTTTTTTATTTCAAATTTTATTCCATCTCTTAAGTTTGATAGTGCTGTATTGGCAATATTTGTTGAGAATTTTGTGCCTAGAAAATGAATATTTCAGTCATAAAATGTATTGATCATTCCAAATTGGATATCTGATTTGTGACATATTCTTCATATTTTTTCATTGATATACATAGGATTTGTGTAATTAATATTTATTTTAATTTTGAAACTGAAAATTAATCATCATATTATAACATCTAATTTCTGATTACATATCTGAAATCACTGAATATCCTTTTAAAAAACGATTTTATAAATGAAAATAATATACAATATATATTCATACATGTTTCAATATACCATCTATTGAAATGTAGAAAAGTGATTAATTTATACTATTTTTATTTTCTTACCATAGAGTTTTGACTTTCTTCATGTTCTGTCCTCTGGTAGGTGTCAGAAAAAGTTATGTGTAGCAGTATTAAGTAGCTTGCAGTAATATGACAATTATCCTAGTCACACATAGCAGTCCATTGTTTTATTGTTATTTTACGTTAGGCTTGTTAGCTATTATTTGTAACTGAAGGATAAATTCTGTTATAAGTGTAATGTAACTTTATATTCAAATGTTATGATATTCGTTACTGGTACTTTTGTGTTATGTGTTCAAAATATTACTTTCTGTGCCACAAATTGATAATTTTCATAAATCATTCAGTAACTATATGTTCATTATTTCAAAAACCTGTCTGAGATTATAATATAATTAATATTTTCATAAAATATACGTAGTTGTAGATTTTCACTTCTCATAGGTTTAAGGTTCTTTGAACTAGAATTTTTGTGTGTGTTTTCAAGATTATAAATAATATATTAATGTCAACAGCTCTCCCTTTATCATAGAACTAAAATTTTCAGCAAAAATTGTGAAATGAGAGCATATATAAACAATAAGATTTGGTTGTTGATAGTTGAATTTGAAAATACAAAGTGTTTTCAAATTCAGCTGACAAATTCAGAAGTATAATAGTAGGTGTCAAGAGGATGAAAAATTGCCATTGAACATAAGTTGCAAACCACATTTAGTGGCAGAAAAATCTCAAAAATAATTATGAAGGATATGATGTCGAATGCCAGTAATAAGTAGTAATGATGGGGCCAATAATAAGTAGAAGAACTTTTATTTGATATAAAGCAGGATTATGATGCATCACAGTTCAACATCAGAAAGGAGACGATGAAAACAGTTTTATAGGAATTGTTCAAGATCGCGAATGCGAAGTTCATTGCCAGCTGACACTGATGGCTAAAGGATTGCTGGACATGTTAAAACATACCCAGTGTGCTGGCAGTGTTTGCTGAAGCAACAACCCATGCTGTCAGATCTTCTAGTGTGTCCACAGCCATCCGATATACAGCCAGTTTCAGGTGGCCGTAGAAGAAGAAATCTAAGGGATTGTGGTCTTGAGAGCCTGAAGGCTAAGCAACAGGTCCGCCGCATCCAGTCTACATCCCAGGATATGTGTCATTGAGGTGATTATGCATCGCATTTGCAGTGAACATGTTTTAGCACACAATGGCTGGTATTCCCTGCATCAAATTTGGGAGAATGTGCTGTAGGAAAACAAGGTAATTTGCACCATTGTCACGTTTGGGCAGAAGATGATCTCTGAGAATCTCCGCCCAGATGTTATTACCAAACTTGTGTTGCATTTTGAACGAGACATTCGGTGGGGATTTTCAGACAACCACACATGCACATTGTGCATGTTGACCATGCCTTTTCTCATAAAGCAGGCAGCATCTGCAGAGTTTGTACGGTCCTTAAGAGTTCATAAAAGGACTTAGGTTTTTTGGAATCGATTTTTGGCACTTAAAAGTCCTTAATTTAATCATTTGAAATTTCTGCTTTTACGACTGCCATTTTGAGTGTGTATCAGCATTTTGGAGGAATGTTTTTAGTGAATCACTGATAAATATTATTTCATGGATTATCATTTGAATTTATTCTTATTTCTAATATAAATGGTGTGATATTTGAGTTTCTGGGTATGATGTGAAGCGTAAGCATTTAGAAATTATTTCTTCTCCTCCCCCCCCAAATAAAGAGCACTTTTGGAGATGTGAATTCTTTTATGAAACGGCTGTAAATTTGGTGACTTATGAACATTTTGGTGATTTTAAGATCAATTTCTGTACAAAATTTTTACATCAAAATTTGTGAGTTTTTGCCAATTATTTTTAAATATTACAACATTGATAAATTTCATGAAAATAATGACAAAATATTAAAATTATATTTTAGAAATAACATTAAAATAAAACATTATTTTCCCTGCCATATTATAAAGTGACATTATTTTCCAATTTAGTAACTTCCTATTACAATATTTTGAATCTTGTAAAAATAAACAAGGTTAATAAAGGCTATAAAACACAATTTACAAAGCAGTTCTTAGCAGAAGCAAAACAGCTGTGTAATTATTTTAATATGTGTTCTTTTGTATTTTTTCATGTCAAGAGTTTTTCCCCAGGTCCAATGCAGGTCTCTCTCTAGGGAAGCAGTGGCAACAGCCAGTCTTCTGTTACGAATCATGCTGATTATGATTTCACTTCTTATTTTAACCTATACCATTTGACATAACATCTGCCTGCTATTTACAAAACCTGTAGAGTGAGCAAGTATGTAACGAAATGAGACAGAAAAAATCAGCATAAAGCTAACTGTTAGTAAAATGTAAATAAAATGTTACCAAACTTCTTTAAAATATGTCCAACTATTATAACTATAAAATATTTAATGCTACTTGATATGGATAAATTTTACAAATTTGATTTTATTCTCAAATTTTTTTTATAATTATGTTTAATAATAATGCATTCTACTTACAAATCTGTTTTATTCTTAGGATTGCATTACAAAAGTAAAATTCAAGAATAGATAATATCTTTAATTGAATTTATTCAGTTCCTTTTGGCTGATAGATCCTTATATTTTTTTTTCATTGATGGTCCTTAAAAGTACTTAATTTCTGTGTGCAGAAATGTGTACAAACTCTGCATCTGACAATATAACAATAGCAGAAAACTGTGGATCATTCTATGTGGCATCAAGTATCCAGTGTATGAACTCTACCCCAAGGGAGTGGTCAGCATCACCTAGGAGATGGATGTTCTGCACATAGAAAGGGTTCATGTTTTCTGCATAAGAACCTTACACACCATTTTATGATGAATACCTAATTCAGCTGCAAGCAGTCGTGTACTCTTCGATGAGGAAACAAACTGTTGGAGTACTTGGTTTTCTCTTTAAGGTGTGTGCTCACTGCATTTTTGCCTTGCCTATCAAACTTATGCAGCCCCATGTAATATAGTAATTTTTCATACTCTTTATCCCTACTATCATCCCTCTGAATCCTCCTCTCTGTCTGTCGAATTTGGAGCATTCAACTCATTTAGCATACTAAACCAAAAAATTTCAAATGTCTTTCTTTTTGTCACCTAATAGTGTTTGGATTTCATAAAAATGAAGCATCATTTGTGTCAAAATTCCGTAGTTTGTATAAATTAGAACTGTGCAAAAAAATTAATATCTTCCTAAACTTCTTCTTTTTTTTTTTTTTTTTTTTTTTTTTTTTTTTTTTTTTGATAGTATACATGATTTTGTAAATTTTCAATCATCATTAAAGTTAAAGGAAATGCATAGAGAGCACTGAATTATAGCATGCTTTTGTTGAAAAATATTCATATGCTGAATGTTGCTGAAGCTGAAAGTCTTATCCTAGTCCAATTTAAGCCAAACTGATTCTTATAAATACTAAACTCACCTGTATCAAATTCATAAGACCTCTAAATACTAGTAGCCCCAGCCAGGTTCAAATTCTTGTGAACAGTCTGGTTGCATGGGTATTTTTATGTTTTTTCAAGTGCTTTATTTGAATATGAGACAGTTAAGAGTTCTTTTACATTTCCTCAAGACATCCGTTTCATAAGCAGATTTATGTGGTGTATTTTACCATAATTGATTAAACACAAATACTGAACTGAAAAGAATGGTTGCATAGGTACCATCTTAGTAGAAGTTATATAACAAACAGCTTACATAGTAGCTTGTACTTCAAAAAAATTTTTGAGCAGATCATGTTTAATTTGTATGCAGAGGAACACATCTGGAATATCAGCTACCATTATGATATAAATGCATTGGCTCAAATGGAAGAAGATGCCTCAAAAAATGTTCTTTTTAAAATAAGGCATAGCTTACATGTGCAGTCTGATGTTACAAAGATATATTAATGTATCATTAATAATCTCAGTTCTGCACAAAAGAAAAATCATAAAAATATTCGTGTAGTCAGATTGTTTTGATGTATGTTAATATGAGGTGAAACTTATCCTTCATAATTAATATTGATTTAGTCACTAAGATTTCATGCTCTTTATACGTGTAAAAGAGAGCTGAAATTATGTAATAACTTCTAGTCTCTAGAAAGGGCTAAAATTTTAAATTGTACCACTCGACATGATCAAATTCAAGGCCATGTGACAGTACAAAATTTAAGTGCATTAAATGAAATTTGTTGCAGATATTTACAGAAGTTTTACATAGTAGGTTTTGAAGAATATCTGCAATTAAGTGTTTTGTGAGCTTTCTCATCATTATGTCATATATCTAACATAATCTTGTGTTCTCTTTGTATTTGATCTCTTTCTGTTCAAAACATTTTTAACAGTGCATGTAGTACTTCTTTTTGAACAGGATATATCCTTGTAATTTACGTAATTTCAACTTTTTAATTGGCCTCATTTCTTTGTGTGGATATAGGGGGAAAAAATCTTCAGTGGCTGTAAAAGTTATGACAAGTCACTCCATTTTTAATGACAATATATACAGTCAAAAGTCGTTAATCCGGACTCCTCGGGACTTCGGCGATTCCGGATTATCGATTTTTCCGGATTATAGATCATCAGTTTAAATCTGGTAAGATGGCATGCAGAAATTACAAAATTAAAAATATGAAACCGTAATTTATGAAATAAAGAACAATTATGATCTAAAGGGTATAAAATTTACAAAAAGAAAAAGCTTAATATTTATTTGTTTACTTTATTAAACATTTCCTTCAATGTAAGTTGCTTCGTTTCATGTGATAATACTTTCTCTTTAATTCTATTAAACAGACATAATTTCTTGTTTAGTTACAAAGTTCCGCTGTTCAAGTCCTATAATTGCTGTGTTGAGAATACCGACCAATTTGTCAATCGAAATGTTTTCGTTTTCAATAACCTCTGGGTCACTTTCTTCACTATCGGAAGTGAATTATAATGACGAGGAACTTGATTTAAATCATATCAAAGACGGAGTACATAAAATACTACACTTAGTACGGAATTATAAAAAAAAAATAAAAACATCTGCCCTGAAGATAAGGATAGTGCTGACAGATTAACTTCCAATCCGCCGCGTGAAATTGATAAACAGATTTCAGATTTCAAAACATACTTTCGCTTTGTAGATACAAATTACATATTAGTAAATATATATCGGAAATTTTATTTGACATAATCTTTCTAATCTATCATAATCTAATAATGACGTTTCTGCCCCCCCCCCTGCCGCAGAGCAGCGTGAAATTGATAAACAGATTTCGGATTTCAAAACATACTTTCACTTTGTAGTAAATATATATCGGAAGGGTCTTGCGCGCTCTCGTAAACGCCTGTGCACATGCGTGAACGCGACGCATGCGCAGAAAGTTTGTAGCTTTGAGGTCCGGATTATAGATCATTCCAGATTATGGGTGTCCGAATTAACGACTTTTGACTGTATTATATTTTAACTGCTTCCCTTACAAATTTTTTTGAAAAAAATTGCAAAAAATCATCACATTTTTTTTTATTTTATTATTAAATACAACAAAATGAAACAAATCAAAATATGTAGGTTTCAAGTTGAATTTTTAATTTTTTGAAGGTGTAAAAGCCTTTATTTTTAATATTAGTTTACTATCCCGAGTTATCTCAAGCAAACGAAAAAAGTTAAATATTAATCTTTGTATGATAGTTTTTGAAACAAGGGACAACACAGAGTGATACCTGACATTCTACACTGGTTATCTGGTCTCTTTTCTTACTGGCTTACTGCTGGAATCTCTTTCACGGGAGCACAGAGTACACTGTCTCATTGGTTTTTTTTTTTTTTTTTTTTTTCCCCAACCTCTTCATAATCACTATCTGAAAAATCATCGCCATTATTTTATTTTTTTTTCCAACGCATGCATCCTTCTTTATACATTACTAATCCACAAGCCAATGTATACTATACAATAGGGAAACACGCGACCAGTCCCTCCAAAAGAACCGCGCAACCAACAAAATTTGGCAAACTGCCAATCAAAGCTAAATATTTCCTTTCATTTCCTCCAGACCGAGTAAAACCATGATAAAAGAAATCGTACTAACAAATTCTGCTTCGCCCGAGTTTTCTCAGGATAATAATTAACTGCAATATATTCGAACTCGAGATAATCAGGTAAGCGGTTAAAAGGCATTTAAATCTTATGCTCTCAGTTTTCATCATATTTGTTCATTAAATTGTGCAACTAGTTCTTTGTTAGCTCATGCCTCACAGGGATGGATTTCTTGCCCTGCAGAGTTCTGAAATATGGCTCTGGTACATTATCAGTACGCTTTATTTTAAAAAATTTTCAAATAGAATACAATGCTTATAACAAATGTGTTAGTTCGCCTCATAAGAATTTAAACATTAGAAGTGGAATGATATTTTTAAATAAATAAATAAATAAAGGGAAGATCTGAGGGGCAGTATCAGTGTAAATGCTAAAATTTTGCAATTTGGGAAAAAGAAGTGATTTTGCATTCTTTGCGCTAATAGTTTTGCAACTAATCATTTGTATTTACATTTAAAAACAAATCTGTTAACTGTGAAGCATTAATGCAGATAACTAGTATGTAACTGAATAAGCACTGTTTGAGTTTTTTTTTTTTTTTTTTTTTTTTTTTAATTGAAGCTTATAAATTGGTCAAACTTTAGCAGTATAATTAATGACAAAATATTTTTTAAAAAATGAATATTTTTATACACGTATCATGCACTTTTTGGGGGGGCATTAAGTAGCATGTTTTTAAGTTTAGAAAAAGGATCATTTGGCCTTGAAATTGT